TGCAGAACATTTTTCAGAACAAAACATGGAAACAAATTCTCAAGTTTCTCGGCTGCAACAACACTAATATGGCAAATCTGACAAACCACAAACAGGTCTAACACTATGAGCTCTATGACAAGTTCTTTAAGACCTGAGTAATCCTACATGCTGATGCAGTGATGCTGATGCAAGTCTTTGATGACATAAACAATACAGTGATGCTGATGTAAGTCATTGATGACATAAACAACAAGAAACTATACATCATAACAACAAGGTGATGCCACAGATCATGCAGTCTTGCAGATTGTGCTCCAGGTAGCAACAGAAAAATTAGAAACCTTCCAGACCATGTAGCAACCAATGGCACCAATGACATGCACTTGATCTCGTAAAGTCTGATTCAGTTACCATCACAACAAATTATTTATTTGCCTAGATCAATGATCTCTTCCTTGACTGATATAAGAAGAGAAGACCACATTAAAATTCAAATTTGAATTGACTTTCAAATAAGATAAAAACATACAGGCACACACATAATAGTCGGAGTAAATTATAACCTTTTGAAGTAGCTATAAGCTTTGTCAAACTAAGCTTTTGAAGCCATCATTTGATGTGGTAAATTTTATATTTGGTGAATAAAGTTCAATAAATGAATTATATATGTCCAAGAGTTTAGGTCAATGCAGATTCTACAAAATAACCAATTTCAGGATCTAACTGATGCACCCTTCACAAACAGCTAATAGCAACAATTACTTTCTTAAGATTCTGCTTGATATGGAAAAGAAGGTTCAAATAGCTGATTACATGATTAATCAAAAGCTTTTAGCAATGTTACATGAGTAATTTTTAAAATATTTTATCCATTTTGTCCCTTGACTCTCTGACTCATACAACCTAAGCAGCCTCTTACAACAAACAAGTTAGTGCTATACAACTGAATTTGATGCACTGATAAAGCCAACCTGTCATCCACCTCTTTTCTTTATTTCAAGGTCAGACAAAATAGAGGATTCAGGACATTTAGCAAATTTGAAGGATCATGCAGAATTGCAGAAGTACAATGCACTGGTGAAACATAATTAAGGCAGACACTTTGAGATTGTATCATCTATACAATCACATCTTGAAAACAGGAGCTTCATGTTTGTCGAGAGATAATTATTTTGAAAGAGAAATGACTTGAACAGGAAGAATTTGTCGGAACATACTTGTATGCATGTATATTGTCCCCATTTGTGTCATTTAAGAGAATAGAAAATAAAACTTAGTGTATGCCCCAGCATCAAAGAAGATAAGCATAAGACATCCACCATAAGCAAATAAACAATACTAAACTGGAGCAGACACCAGAAGACAAACTAGAACAAAAAAGAAAATAAAGGCATATGATATGTTACACTATGTGGTAAGATTAACGTAATATCTTCCAATGGGAAACATCCAGAATGTAATATACAGAGATGTATCTGTGCAGATGAATGTACCTATTCATGAATCACATATTTTGTATGCATAACCTAGACAAACTGCTAGTTTGATGATATAACTTCCAAGGGACTGGTCATCATAGTTTCTACAGACTTACTGCAAGAATAGGATTTCGTGGAAGTTTGGAATATGTGATCCAAAGAAACGTAGCCAGCTGAGCACAAAACATCTGGACAGCCAAGTAGAAAAAACCTAGCTGAAATATCTGGCCAAAAAAATATTTTTATGCAGTAATAGATGCCCTAGAAACATCTGATCAAAAAACATGACATAACAGGGAACTGGTCCTTAAAAAGGAAAGAAAAAACTAGTTACAAGGAAAAGTAAAAGATACAAGAAAGTACAAACAATTCCCACTTATAAGCCAAGTGGTTTAAAAGATGATGCAGAACACATCAGCATTATTTCAATAGCAGTAATTAGACAGAAGTCACATGAAAGTAATATATAGAAGCAAATCCAACTGACTTCATAAAGCTTATATATGAGACTTTGACATACATGAGATTGGGGATCAACCAATCTCAACTGGAAGTCAGGCCTTATAAAAGACATATGCAACTGGTAGTTAATAAGATCCATCAACACTCATCAGTCTATCACTTTGAACTTGAAAATGTAAAACGTATGTCTTTAAGAAGCACATGTCCACAGGATATGTCTTTAGACAGCTATACTGTTTGGCTAAAAGTAAAGAAGAATCCAAAAAAATAAATAGACTATACCAACTGCACATTCATAATTGCATTGAGTAAAGGAAATTGTGTCTTTAGGTTGTATGTTTTATGTAGTATGTCAATTTTTAAGATGAATTTGGCCAAAGCTGCAACCAGTAAATGGCCAAGCTCCAGAAGTTTCTACAAGCTATGGAAAACTAACAAGCGTCTCAGGCACACAAATATTGGTTTCTTGAAGCAAGGCATGTCCTTAAGCAACAACAGAAGTTGACAGTATCAAATGTATAGCACTATCTTTAACTTAATTTTTTCCTCAGATCTGGCTTGCATGTCAAAAGCCACCAGCAAAACCAGTGAGAAGTAGCAGTAACCAACCATCAGGATGCCTGCACCCACAAGGTGATCTTTCCTCCAAAGGTATGCGACGTCTCTTCCCATAGTCTGCTTCCCTCAAACCAAACCCATGGTCAACCTCTTGTGCCATCCTAAAATTGCTTTGGGACCTTGAAGAGGAACTACTCCTGTCCAAGGTATCCTCATTGTTGTAATCCTGATCTCTCTGCTCGTGGTCTCTATGTCCATTTTTCTCCTCCCTTGAGTGCTCCTTATCAGACCTGTCCCAGTCTTTTTCCATCTTGTAAAGATGCCCTCTTTCAAAATTTCCTGACCAGTCATGCTCTGGATCCTCTTCTTTATCTTGTGGAATATTTGATCTGCCAGTTCTCTTATGGGACACTTCCTTGTGTCCATAGTCAGAAACACAATTATCCCCACCATACCTTGATTCCTTCATCCTTCTTCCATTATCTGTAACTTTCCACCCACCCATGCTTGTATCCGTCCACATCCCTGTGGAGTGGCCTTCCATCCCACTGCTTCTGATCATCCCCATCCCAGCTCCAGCTACCCCACAGCCAAAGAATGATTGGTTTACATGTGGTGTCACTGCATGGAATGGAGGCACCATTGACCGGAAAGCAGGACCGGAAAAGCCACCAGAAGGACCTCCCCTACCGAGGTATGCTGGTTCGAAAACTGCACCCATCAGACCCTGTGAATGTATCAAGTCCCCAGCAAGATTGCCAAATCCAGGCCTTGCGAGTCCTTGCTGAAATATCGCCTGAAGGCCACCGGTCACCCAGCCCACGCCCTTTGAGCTGACACCACCTCTTCCCCTCATTGATCCAGTGCCGCCTTGGCCTCTATTTTGATATCTCTGTCTGCCTCGACCCCCCAAGCCATCCCTACCAAGGTTCGTTCCCCCATCACCATTCTGATGATTAATTCTGCAGCCTCGACTGATTCCCTCATTCATTAGTCTCCTCCCCTGTGTTTGAGCATGATTTTGAGCTTGGTTCTTGTTCATGTGAGTTACACCCATCTTCTTCTTCAGAGTCTGAGGAGAAGCATACACCACCACACAAGGCCGACCATTAAACACATGCCCGTTCATTCCCTCTTTACAGGCAGCTGCTACGGTAGAATCGTAGAACTCAACCTGGCAGTAACCTTTAGATTTCCCACTAGCCTTTTCATCAAAGAACTTGACTTCTTTCACTCTCCCATACCGCAACAACACACTCTCAAGCTCAACATCGGTAGTCCACCAATGCAGCTCCCCAACAAAGAGCAACGTCGAGCCATTGTCATCCATTCGGCCACCGTCTGTTCTCAAGCTATTATCGGTCATCGGACGATCCCCAGTAGCATGAGCCGGTGGATTCGGAGGCATCAGTGGCTGATTTTTGGCACCGTCATTGCCCGGATCTGATGGTAGCGACGAAGATGCATCGCCGAACTTAGGATCCAAGCTGATCTTGGAGCGTAATGGCGCCAAAGCGGAATTGCCTCGGAAGCCTATGCTCCCCCCATTACTCTCTCGAACGGCATCCGACGCACTGTTACTTCTATGAGGAATACCATCGGGACCTTCACCAGGCAAAAGACTCCCAAACTTCGGTTCAGGTTGTAAAGCTCCACTGCCAGATTGGGATCTATTTCCGTCCGGCCCAACTACGGGAACGCCCAGGCCGGTCGGCCCATCCGCAACCCGATCTGGTAACCCACCATTCCCGGAAGGAGTGGCAGGCCCGGCGACACCCTGGCCGACATTAACATCATCGTAAGGATGGTCGTAGCCATCCTCCTCCTCATCCTCCTCGTCGCCGTAATCCAACTGCTCTTCCGAATCCATCAATGCATTTAAATCCTGCACAGGTAACAAAAATTCAAATAAATATTTTCTTCCTACCCGTCGAAACTTTCATCTTATGATAAAATAGGACGTCAAGCAGCTAAAAACAAGACCAAATTCGACCAAGGGGAAAGGACTTGCGGATGAAAGAGGAGCAGTGAGCAGTTTGGGGCACCAACCACACGCCACCTGTTTGAAATAATGTCTGAGAGAGCAGCAGCCCACCCTTCATTTATGTCCTGCTGAAACATAACATAAATGTTGGGAGTTCATGGAATGGTTATGAAGCACATTAATGTTGGCTGAATAGTAGAGGTTGGGAAAGCGCGCGCACACACACACACACATACATATATATATATATATATATATATATATGATTCTCTAAAAATAAGACATATACTTAAAATTAATTTTGATTATATATGAAAATAAGCTAATTAACCATATTATGGAATAAATAGAGACAAGACATGAAGGCCACATTTTAGAAGATCCTATGCAAACTGAACCAAAAAACATACCTTTTACTCAAACGTTGTGTCTGGGACCCGCTGCTCTGTTCCAATCGTGACACGGGTAGATTTGGTCGAGACGAAACAAACAGGAGTACAAAGGTGGTAAAGACTGATGCGTGCTCTTAAGCCCCAAAGCTAAACCCTTCGACTCGTGCGATCGCGGCGCTCCAACAAATAGGAGCGATTCCACCGTCGTCTCTTCTCACCTTCGATGGAGGAGACGGCAGCGGCGGCAGAGGGCGTGCCCGTCCCGGACGCGAGAACGGGCGTGGAGGCGAGCACCCGCGACGGCGGGATGTCGATCAGGCAGTGCGTCGACAAGATCAACAAGAGCCTCGACCGTGCGAACCATGCGTAGCACGAATTTGAATCGATGCGTTGAGTTCTTGGATTACAACTGACTTCTGGTGATGTTTTGGGTTGTGGTCAGATCCCAAGGTGAGGTTTCTGAGGGAGCACATGATAGACGCCGGATGCCCGGTCTGGGTGCGTCTCCTTATGCCGCTCAACTGCAAGGATCAGGGCTTCGCCGGCGGTTATACCAGCGGCAAAGGGGTTATCTTCTTCTTCTTCTTCTTCTTCTTCTTCTTCTTCTTCTTCTTCTTCTTCTTCTATTGTATACTTCTCACAAAGTAGCAGACTAGTTTTTATATCCTTAATTCTTTGATGTCTTTCACTTCTCAGTTGAGATTTACTGACCGGTATTGGAGCATTCTGCCTCATTTGCTTTTAGTTCTTGCTATAGTATTAGCCGCTGGCATATCTCAGTCTTTTGGCTCTTTTGTTAATTTTGATGTAGAGGAAACTTTTGGACCAATTCTTGACGTGATTTATGTCTAGTATTTCTTTTCAGGTGCAAAAGAAGCTCAAACTAAGTAAAGCTCTCCAATTAAAGGTTTTAACTAATAATGGTTTGACTGACAACCAAGGACAAATCATCAACCCATAGAACAAAAAGGGGAACAAACCTCAATGAAACTTACATAATGCGAACTCGACTGTATAGTGAAACCAAAGAAATTAATTAGATGATTCAAAATAGTGGGCATTTTATAGGATGAGGATGGTACTGAAAGTGGAATGAAAATATTTATATTGGCGATGGTTTAGACATAATGCCAATACAGTATGGATTGAAGGGAGGTGGCTTGGACATGTCCAAAGGAGATTTTGAATGCTATGGCATGATGATGAGCTAATACATATCAGTGGCATCAGGAGTGGTAGACAAATGGCCATAGAACTTCTGTTAGAAGCTAATGTTGCTTCCTCTAAGACCACTCGATGGCATGAAGTGGTCTGAATAGAGCTTTTTTGGTTGTCAATCTGACTATAAATTGAAAATAACTAGACTTGGATTTATTTTAGTAGCCTTCTGGTCCATAGTGGACATAATCATCTTCTTCATGCTTACTAAATTTGTTACTGTTGTTGATGATGATGATGATTCATAAAATAGATTCGATGTGTGACAAAATGAGTTACATCAGTCGCTTAATTTTCTTCCTTGTGCAAAATTGACTTGGGGATAAACAAGAACTTTTAGAAACATAATGAAATCAGAGTCAACATCTTTCACAAGCTCCTAGGACTTTCTGAAGTTCAGACTTGAAAAAGATCATCCTAAATGTAGGACCTTAATGAAGACTTAAAAATAAGATGAAATAATTTAAAAACATCTAACAATCCAACTCAAACTGAATTTGTTAACTAATTTAAATCAAACTATCAAAGCAAAACTTCTAATACATTAATTTCCTTTGTGGAATCGGCCCACAAGATCACAGTTCATATTTTGAGATGTTAAGTAGTTCTGCAGTCCATGGTTTGCAATATCGTACCGTACCGTATCGTTCGGTATGGGCAATATGAATCGGTTTGATAGAGGACCGATACGAGTGGTATATCGGTTTACCTTAGTGTATCGTGTGTCGGTATAGCTCGGTACAGCTTGGTACGTACCGTACCGATGGCTGATCGGTACACTGGTACAATATGGTATTCAGAACCTTGCCGCAGTCCTATTATAGTTTATAATTTAAGTTTTACAATTGCTAACTATCCTTGTTGTGATAATTAGGTAAGAATTACTTTCTATTTTTTACAAGTTTTTTTCCCAATCATTTCAGATAGCAATTTGTTGCAATCATATGACTTTCCAAGATGAAATAAATCAAGTCCTTATTCATGAGTTGATCCATGCTTATGATGATTGCCGTGCAAAGACCATCAACTGGAAAAATTGTTATCATCATGCTTGCTCTGAGGTAAAGTGAAGCTTCAGAAAGGCAGAAGTTTTGTATTTCATTATTATTTTTTTAGCAGGAAAGTATGCAATTGTCTTTTCTTGTGAGACAGTATAAATAGGCAAGTGTCCTTCGTGTTCATTCAGATTCGTGCTAATCACCTGAGTGGTGATTGCCACTACAAACGCGAACTGCTACGCGGATTCATGAAAATACGAGGTCATGAACAAGTGAGTTTTTTTTGCTCTGGATCTTAGATGATCAGTTTCTTTTATTCTCAGAGCATGAGAATTGCAATATGCTTGATTCCATTATATTACAAACATATTCTGCAAATTTTGAATATCTATGTTGATAATATTGATTGCAACTTATTGTTATAATGAGCACATATGTATAAGTAATTTAACTAGTCATGTTGCTACTTGTTAATTGGTAATAGTTTACCGGATGTTAGTGATGTTCTGAAAAGCTTCTATGGATATGCGGGCAGTCAATCTACTAAGTTTATGTGCTTTAAGTGCAGTCTACTGCTTCCGGAAGTGATAAGTTAGATATACATGTCCCATCGCATGGAGATGCATTAACCTCATTATGGTTTGGTTCAAGGATAACTGTACTGAATGGCACCAGTCTCCTGTGTATCGTTCCACAGACCTAATTATTGTGAAATATACAGTGCTGATGCCAGCTACTTGGTTCTTAGGCATATTGCCTTAATGGGACATTCAGTCCTTGCTAACTCAGCCAACACTCCATATTAACCATTTTTTTCCTTCTCTTATCATGATGTCAACCTGTGTTGCCCCATCCTCACAACGAGCATTTCCCTTGTGCTAGTGTCTGTGTGCGGAGTAACTGATGCCTGAATCACTCCATTGAGGTTGACAAAAGCTGGATCAGTAGCACTGTCATCATCATCTGTGATTCATCTGATGTGTGGTGGTTTTTACTCCCTTAATTCCTTCATTGGCCATCTTGATCTTCTATGCTGTCTTGTTAAAGAGGTGTTTTTCTCTGTTATCTTGTATAATGGAAATGCGTCTGTCATGGCTACGAATCATGCAGCCATTGATGATGCCAGGAATGCTGGTGATATTTAAATCCTCAGATTCAATCATAACTACCCGGCTTGGATCTTTATTTTGGACCCAGATAGAAATAGTAATGGATATTGCCATACCCACCCTGCAGCTTTCTCTAATACATGGGGAATGAGGTCATCCAATAAATGTTTCATTTGCAACAACTTAGAAAATCCATAGATTCTCATGTTTATTCCCTTGCAAACATTAACAAATTGAAATTTGTGGAGTTTGTCATAGAGAACACCAAAGACTTTGATTTGCTGATGGAGAGCTGATGCTGGTTTTTATGGTTTTTATGTTTTACTCTCATCGAATTTGCCAAAATTTCGAGCAGTGTAAATAAGATAAAACAACACTCATCTTTTTATTGATTTAATTTTTCTAGAAACCTGAATGTAGACAATCTAGCGAGCTAAATAAAGCTGGCTCCTCCAGTTGGTGTTACTATGCTTATCTGTTTATTCTGGTGGCACAAACCTTCTTTGCTGATCGATGCAATCTATTTGTCCAGTTCATTTTCTGTTTTCTTGATTTCTCAGCATACCAAGTTTTGTTGTTATATGATAATGGTTATGATTTCTGACCTAGAGTTGCTTAAATCACTATTTATTCTTACTTTGTTTGCCTCTGCTTGGAATGCTTAAAGGAATGTGTCAAAAGGCGGGCTTTAAAGTCGGTCCAAATTAATCCACACTGCTCAGATGCAGCTGCAAGGGATGCCGTCGAAGCTGTCTGGGATATCTGCTACAATGACACTTACCCCTTCGAGAGAGCTCCGTAGATTCAATTCTAAACTGCATCACATGAACCATCCTACTATTGCTCTTTCATGTGGGAATTCGTTTGTTCCATCCATTGGTTGTTAATTCTATGGAGTCTTGGACATCTGCCTTTTCTCTGTTCACCCGGTGCCTACGTCATCGACTTGAACAGAAATGCTGATTTTTATATGTTGGAAGCTCATTTATTGATATTGTGATCCTGTACACCAATTCATGGGGATAAAGCAAAGACGTTCATTGCATCAAACAGATGGATATGTCCAGGGATCATTGTTAGCTAGATTGCTTGCTGCATACAATATATGGAACTTGTTAACATGACAGACAGACAGACGAGATACAATGGTTAACCGCCGCCGTTGCTGCGGAGTAGATGTTAACTGGTGTATGATATTAATTTCCTCACAGTAAAACATTTAGGTCATTAGTTTTACTGGCGACAATACAAAAAATGATAGATAAAAGAGTAATTTTAATTATACAATTATATTTTTCGTGATGGTGAACGATGATATCGTTGGAGTGGCTATTGTGAACGAGGATGGAGAGCAATCAAGAGAGGTGAAATAAAAGGAGAAAAGGAAGAGAAAGACGTAGATGTCGTTGGTGTCGCTTGGTAATTGTGCGGCATCGACGTAGTTGTAGGGCAGTGAAAGGATTGCTTAGCATATGCATCAACACCAATGTCGATGCAGAGCAACTGTGTCAGCGTCGACGTAGATGCAGAGCAGTGAAAGGATTGCTCAGCATCTGCATCGACGCCAATGCTGATGTAGAAAAACATTAACATAATTGTCGAGCAATGCGTGCAAATGCCAAGCGACCCTTTTGTCGCTCTGCATCTACGTTGGCATCGTTCGGCAATTACGTCGGTGTCAACGTAAATGCAAAGCGACAAAAGGGTTGTTCGGCATTTGCATCTGCATCGACGTAATTATCGAGCAACGCTGACGACATCTGCATCGTCCTCTTCCTTCTCTCTCTTTGTCTCACATCTCGTAGTCGCTCTCCCTCCTCATCCACAACAATCACTCAGTAACCCCAACGATGTCGTTCTCCACCACCATCGAAAACGTAATCGGAACATTGAAATTATTTTTTTGCTTATTGTTTTGATAATTTCTTCTATAAATATAAAATCAATGAGATTGAGATAAATAGAGTTAGATATATTACTTTCACAATTATAAGGATTCTAATATAATTTTTTTTTAAATTTAAAAACTTGTATTCACTAAAAGATCTAACTACAACAGTTAGTTTAATATGTAATTAGGCCTCACATATGTCTTGTGTTGTGATGTCTCGTTATCATTCACTTGTGACTGAATAAAAAAGTAACCTTCCTTTTGCATTGACTGTGTTACTTTTTTAAACGTCTCTCCTTTAAAACATATAATCATAATCAGTGAAACATACAGATTTATGGCCACCCAATTAAACCAAAACGGTATCAGGAGAAGAGTATATTGAAACATTACAGGACCCTTTCCTAACTTGCTCATGAGAGTCTATTAAAGCATATATTAAGTCCTTTAAATTCTTGAGCTTTGTGATCATTTAAATAAATCTTAAGAGTTGATGATGATGATGATGATGATGATGATCAAGATTTTGATTTTGTGAACCCCTCTGCAACAAACAAACAAATCTCATGTTGATGCCACCCAAAGCATGGCTGGTTGACCATACTATGAAGGGTCATCCGGTGATGTGACCTTAATGATCATGCAAATAGCATCATTAATGCGATCTTGACCCCATATTGACTAAAATCTACAAAGACAGACTAAATTGTGGAAGAGCCAACTTACTATTCTCTGAAGAAGCCCAGTGTTTTACGCCCATGAAAGATGTAGAACAAATCCCAGATCCTCCCACGTAGTTGAATCCCTAAGAGTTCTTTTACTCGATGCTACTTATCCTAATATTACTTCCTTTTTACATTCGTTTGTTGTTCTAAATCAAATTATAATATTCAAGATAATATTCCTTCTAGTTAATTTGGTACTTATCAGAAAAATATTATATATATATATATATATATATATATATGTGTATATGTATGTATGTATGTATAAAAAGAATTATGCATCATTCCAAATGACACTATCCCCATCACTGCGAGAGAGAGAGAGAGAGAACATCCCCCGATTTTTGTTGCCGCCTGTAACAGAAATGGCACTATCCCCATCATCCCCTTCCCTCCGCGCGCCACCCCCCCCGCCCCCCCCTCCCGGGTGGTTTTTGTTGCCGCCTGCAATAGATTGGCACTATCCATCACCCCAGCACTTCCTTCTTTCTCAAGCTACAATAAGAGTAAGTTATTTGTTAAACAAAATGTTATGTTAATTTGATTTTTGTTTCAGTATTCATATGACATTCTTAAATGTTTACATGTTTTGTGTGCTTTGCATCACTTTAAGCTTGTATGAGAAGTTTACATGTTATCTTCAATTTTATGTTAATTTTAGTACTTTTAAGGATTATGATCACACTGTTAAAAATCATTTTGAGAAAAAAAAAATAGCACTGAGGTTGTACTTAAAAATCATGTTTAGTACATCAATATTGTTTGAAGCAAAGAGGCATTTAATGGAGAGCGCATGTAGTTGTTGGGATTGTTATTGCTATTTTAGATATTTTGTTTCTTTTGTTTGCCATTGTGCTACTGGTTGTACTTGGTTATTCAGAGCTTGTATGATATGCCTCGTACAACAAATGATTCCTTGTACTGTTTGCACTTATGTTTGTTCAGGTAGTAGGGATTTGGATTATGTAAAACGATCATTGTCTGCTGCAATCAACACATATCATTCTGTAGTTTTTTCCTTTTAGGATTCTTATTTAGTTGATCTGAAAATGTGGATGGTTGCATCAAAAGGTAGAGATATATTGGTTTTAGCAACATTTTGGCATTTTATGGATGTTCTCTAGTAAGTGTTTTTCCTTGAATGATCGTATTCAGTTATGCTACATTAGGGATTGTTTTGAACACATCCATGACTGAATGTGTAGTGATGAAAGTTAGGAAAATAATTCACCGAATTTATTGTTTGGGTTTACATATAGATGTTAAATTCCACTCCCTCATGATTGTGCAGGTGAGTTAAGCTAGTTCGTGTATTACATTTATTATTACTACAAAAGTAATCTCATATTAAACGCACCTCTTATCATCCATATCATGTAGTTGCTATATAATGGTTTGTGTCAAGATGTTTGATCGTCTTAGGATCTCAAGAAATATTATTTTGTGCATTTTGTTGAAATGACGTTGGACATATTGTGTGACAATAAAGGTCTTATTTTACAATTAGTTATGTTATGTGCACATTAGGATTAGGATTAATTAATACAAATTAGGATTTCCTCCTTTAAAATAAATATATTGTCATATGGCTTACCGACATAAAATGAAGAGGGAAGGCGGTGCGGGGAGTCTTAGATTTGTCACGGAGAATTACATATTATCCCCTTTAGTTGATTAAGATTAGCATCTCAATCTTTATATTTTAAATAATAACATTAAGATTTTTACTTATGAAAGTAAAACATTTAAACCTTAATTCTCCTTATGTCATCAATTTTGTCATGAATGGAAAGGGTAAAAGGAAAATATCATTTAAGCTTTCCTCCCTATGGACAACTTAAAGCATGGACAGCTTAAACATTCATTCTCGATTGACAATTCTTATTATGAATGCTAACAAAAAGCATGTCATTCACCGTTCAACATGTTTTATCCACATAGACCAACAAAAGATCTTAATTTCTTCATGTATGAGTATATTAGCTTAAAATAAACAAGACTATATGGGTTATACCCTGCTTGCTTATTTTCCAACCGTTAAAAACTATCAAAAATCTTAATCCATATGTGAAATCTCGATGACAATTATTGCACAAAGTGATCAAAACCTCATCAGATTATCAGAGGAAAGCTTAGAAGAATCATGGCTGAAATTTACTGAAAATTGATTGCAGAGACCTCCACGACACGGAGGGGTTGTAGACGAGAGAGAGAGAGAGAGAAAACATCCCCCTTTGTATCGCTTATCATCACCTGCAATGCATCGTTCCACGCATCTTTCACCTTTCCCTCCCCCCCCCCCCTCCTGAGAGCTCCGACAAAAGCACCCAACCGTTTTTAGATACGTAAAACATCCTCCTCTGCATCTTTTGTCGTTGCCTGCAATAAATCGAATGGCATCGCTCCACGCATCCATCACCCCTTCCCTCAAAAAGAGATGCAATGTACTTAACTGAATGTACTGTTCACTTTAATAGATAAAAGATATAAAAACCAATTTTCTTTTGGGACCACATCATCCCTTAAGGCTTAGATCCAAACCCTAACCTTAACCGTAACCTGAATTCAGACTATCCACAAAAATTGGTACCGTCAACCAAAATGAAAATGAAGCAACCAACTTCCACTCGGACGACACATGATTCGTTTTTCGTTATCCAATTCCTAATCCCCCCTTTGATTTTTGTTAGCTTTTTGTTAGCATTCATAGTATCTCCCTATTAACACAATTTATCTCACACGTGATTTTTTGTTTTATAAATTTGTACACATCAATCTTCACACAATAACGAATATATTTTTAGAAATTAATAATTTTATATTATGTTCTTTCGTTGCACATGATATCGCCCCCAAGATTTTTAAATAGTGTCCACATCCGCCGGTTCATATTGAGATCGGAAATAACCTCGTCAACATATTGGAAATAACCGCCGCCACCCCTCCTCCCCACCTTTCTTAGGCGACTCCGGATCTTGATCGAAACCAACATCGTCAGCCGGTTCTGGGATCTCGGGATCGCCAACAACGTCCAAGGGCTTCTCCTCCGGCATCTGCTCGCGAGTCCTCTGTGCGCGCCATCCATGGAGAAGTTCGGTGGAGGAGGAGACGATGATGACTTCGCGTCATCCTTCACGGAGAGTTTCGCCTCGACGACTCCCATTCGCCCGCCGGCATACAAAAGGGGAAGGGAAGGGAGGAGTGGAGCAACAGCGGCAAGCGAGAGAGAGATGGCCGAGGAACGGGACCTTTTTCTCCTTCTTTTAGCACATGCGATCGCATGCGATGATTTAGCGATTAAGATTCAACTGTATGGGCCGTCTCTTGTCGCAGCGACCAAACACGAGAGCCCGGTCGATCTCAAGCCTCCACGCGAGAACCGGCCAGCAGAACGCAGTACCATGAACCGTGTTCGATCCCAAGCTGCCGCGTTGATCCG